GCCAACTATTTCCCTGTTTCTGTATAATAAACATTGCCACCTCTTCTTGATAACTCAGATGAATTTTGATAATCATGATGAATTTTAATTATTGTAGTAATCTGTAATATTGTGCTGCTTTTAAAGCTTACTTAAATATGTAGGATCATTGTGCTGATGGATATACTAGGAGAGGGGCAGTGTCCCGTCAGCACAATGACATTCAGACAAACATTTCAAAAAAGGGATGGGCCTATATAAGGCATTCAGACATCTGAATTGACTATGCTTATCAGGCATGGAGTTTGGCAAGTTTAAAAATGTATTCAACGCCAGGTGTGGTGGCTCACTCCTGTAATCTCAGCACTTTGGGAGGCTGAGGCAGACAGATCACTTCAGGTCAGGAGTTTGTGACCAGCCTGGCCAACATGGTGAAACCCTGTCTGTACTAAAAGAACACAGAAATTAGCCGGGTGTGGTAGCATGAGCCTGTAGTTCCAGCTATTCGGGAGGCAGAGGCAGGAGAATCGCCTGAACCCGGGAGGCAGAGGTTGCAGTGAGCCAAGATGACACCACTGCACTTCAGCCTGGGTGACAAAGTGAGGCGCCATCTCAATAACAACAAAAATGTATTCAATTACTTAATTGATTTAATTCAAAGACCTATTAGCTGTACTGAAGGCCTAATTAGTCAAATAACCTACTAGATATCTCCACATACTATGCCTTTTTTTTTTGAGATGGAGTCTTGCTCTATTGCCCAGGCTGGAATAAGTGCAATGGCGTGGTCTCAGCTCACTGCAATCTCCACCTCCCAGGTCCAAGCAGACTCTCCTGTCTCAGTCTCCTGAGTAGCTGGGATTACAGGTGTTCACCACCAAGCCCGGCTAATTTTTGTATTTTTAGTAGAGATGGAATTTCACCATGTTAGCCAGGCTGTCTTGAACTCTGGACCCTGTGATCTGCCCGCCTCGGCCTCCCAAAGTGCCGGGATTACAGGTGTGAGCCACTGCGCCTGGCCTTTCTTTCATTGATTACCTATAGATTGAGTACCTACTATGTACAGACACTGGGCTGGACACTAGGCTACAGAGGTAGAAAAAACAAAGCTTTTATTTTCATTACTTAAATCACATGTCCCAAACTGAATCTTTCACCTTTCCCTCCAAACCTGCTCCACTTGACACATTTTCTAATTGGCATTATTGCCCATCAGGCACTCAAGCCAAAAACCTGGGAAGTCATACTTTTCACTAGTTCCCAACTCTTCTACCCTCAACATCTATTTTTTTCTGGTCATTTCTCATTTTCATTGCCACCACTGGACTCCAGATGTTCTTCACCTAGCTGGCAGCAATGGTTTAGTTTCCTACATTTGCTCTCAACCCTCTCTAGTCAAGCCAATTAAAAAGACTGGTGGTCCTTTTAATTCTCTTGCTTATTATGTTTCAATGACTACATGGAGCTTTCAGATTACAATTCAAACTCCATTTTACTATATGACCCATGCCTCTTCTTCTAGCCTCATCTAGCCCACTCTCCTTTGGCCATGCCCAATTATTTACAGTTCTCCAAATGCATCAACGCTCCTTCTTACTCCCTTTTGCACAAACTTCTTTCTCAGTCTCAGAGGGTCTTCTCTTTCTCTCCCACTTCTTGCACCAACTTCTCCTTCAAAATGAAGCTGAAGTGTTATCTCTGGGGGAACCTACCCTGTGTGGGGGTCTCCCATGTGATTTTCTTTTTTTTTTTTTGAGATGGAGTCTTTGTCACCCAGGTTGGAGTGCAATGGTGCGATCTCGGCTGACTGCGACCTCCACCTCCCCGGTTCAGACCATTCTCCTACCTCAGCTTCTGAGTAGCTGGAACTACAGACATGTGCCACCACACCCAGCTAATCTTTTTATTTTTAGTTTTCACCATGTTTCACCATGGTGGCCAGGCTGGTCTCGAACTTCTGACTTTGTGATTCTCCTGCCTCGGCCTCCCAAAGTGCTGGGATTACAGGCGTGAACCACTGTGCCTGGCCTCCCTTATGTGATTTTAACTGTTTCCCACCCTACCCTGTCCATGCCTCCAATACAGCACAATGTGAGAACTTTTTACATGTCTATCTCTCTAAGCTCACTGAAAGAACTGTGTCTCACCTATTAACTCCCAGCAGAGGCACAGTAACTGGTGTTGTTGAATGACTAAATATATAGCAATATGCAGTTATTTCTCTTTACAAATTAAATTTTTTCCTAAAATGTGAGTAAGCCAAATTCTAGTAATTGAAAACAGCTTAAATTTACTAAGGGAGACCTTCAACCTACCAGACCCATCTGTGCTCCTAAAAGATAATAAAATTTACTAACAGAACTAGTTGCTTTAAGAAAAACTAGTAGTTGGTGCCTTGCAGGGTAAAGAACCCCCCCAACTTTAGCTCTTCTCTAAGATTAGTAGTTCTTATGGTAAGGCAAGCTTATCTATGTATTTCTCCGGCAGCCCAACCTAGCATGCTGAAAATTCCAAAATGACTTCAATACCTTTTAAAGATTAAGTATATATACTCACCACATCTTTAAGTACTTGTGTCACTGTTGCATTTGCATTTCCCCCTTTAATCAGCATGGCATTTTTAATATTTTCATTGAGTTTCGGTTCTCTCTTCTCAAGGAATCTCTTGGCTCTTTTCGTTTTGGGCTTTCTGTTCAGAAAAGCACAATTCATAACTATTTAAACATTTTCCTCACATTGCAAAGGCATGACTTAACTAATATGCAAATTCTTAAAAACACATTTGTCATTTAGGACTCCACCCTTAAACAAAATCTTTTTTTTTTTTTTTTTTTTTTTTGAGATGGAATCTCACTCTGTTGCCCAGGCTGGACACAATCTGGACGCAATGGCACAATCTTGGCTCACTGCAACCTCCATCTCCTGGGTTCAAGCAATTCTCCTGCCTCAGCCTCCTAAGTAGCTAGGATTACAGGCACACACCACCACACCTGGGTGATTTTTGTATTTTTAGCAGAGACGGGGTTTCACCATGTTGGTCAGGCTATTCTCGAACTACTGACCTCAGGTGATCTGCCTGCCTCGGCCTCCCAAAGTGCTGGGATTACAGGTGTGAGTCACAAGGCCCGGCCAAAATCTCACTTTTTTTGGAGATATCAGTAAAAGATATTTCCTTATGATTGTTAAATAAGTGTTTTGTTAGCTTTTAAAAAAAAAGCTTTCATTTTTATATTCCCACCATTCTTTTACTACTGCTTTTTCAAATCTTTTTTTAAGTAAAAAATAAAAGGCTCAAGTAAATACTGTCGCTATTTTTACTCTTCTTTTTTCTTCAAGCCTTAAGTAGTCAAACTGTATCCTGTACCCTAATACAAAGAATTGAGCATCAACTGCTAATCAACCTGTGGGCATTTACTAAACGTGAGACTAATGACTGCTTACCTTTCTTTTAGGTTTAAGACCACAATGCCTGCCAGGAAATATACACTGTTGCACTCCAATATCATTGCTGAGAATGTCAACATTATTGCCAACAATGGGGAATAATAAGGTTGAGGTTTACCTGGAGTCACTCTATTAAGGCTTAAAATCTTCACCACAATCCTGAGAGTTACAATTCTTTTTTATTTATTTATATTTTTAGAGACGAGTCTCTCTGTCTCCCAGGTTGGAGTGCAGTGGCGCGACCTCAGCTCACTGCAAGCTCCGCCTCCCGGGTTCACGCCATTCTACTGCAGGCGCCCGCCACCATGCCCGGCTAATTTTTTGTATTTTTAGTAGAGGCAGGGTTTCACCGTGTTAGCCGAGGATGGTCTCGACCTCTTGACCTCGTGATCTGCCCGCCTCGGCCTCCAGAAGTGCTGGGATTACAGGTGTGAGCCTCCACACCCGGCAAGTTACAATTCTTACCTTCACTTTACAGATGAGGCAACTGAACACACAGGTAATGTGCCCAAGATCACACAGCAGGTAAACAGGCCAATTTTCAAAATGAGCTAGGGCTGGGCGGCCACAGCCTGTAATAAAAACACTCTAGGAGGCCAAGATGGACGGATCACTGAGCCCAGAAGTTCAAGACCAGCCTGGGCAACATCGCAAAACCCTGTCTGTACAAAAAAAATACAGAAATTAGCTGTGGTGGTGCGTGCCTATAGTCCCAGTTACACGGCAGGCTGAGGTAGGAGGGCTGCTTGATTCCGGGGAGGTCGAGGCTGCAGTGACCTGTGATCGGGCTACTGCACTCCAGCCTGGGTGTCAGAGCGATACCCTGTCTCAAAAAAAAAAATGTTTTTTAAGCTAGATTTAAAAATTCATGTAGACCAATTACCCTGTAAACTATTAAGGGAAAATAAATTCATTATTATGACTTTATGATGTGACAGTAGGAATGGCATATTTTTATACATTTCTGTTCAAAAAAGGGGCTTCACCTCTGCTTCCTCTACAATGAGCGCCCTGATTTTTCAGACAGTTCTCTGTCATCTACTGAAAGAATTCTCCTCCCAAATAATTATGACCCTCCCTCGTCCAGTCCCATGGACACTTTGGGAAGAAAGAGACTATACATGCACTTTAGTTTCCCATGTAGATTTTTTAAATCCTCCTCCAGAGATAATGTCATATATAAAGCTTCTAATCATTTACTGGTTGATGAAGATACAAATTATTCTATCTTCTGTAACTCATTAAACAGCAACAAATGCAAATAGCGATTAACATGTTTTATTAGCTGCCTGGCTCCCAATTAATGTGTAAACTAGTCCCAATACCTAGTAAACGACTCTTCTTTGTAGTCCAAACAGCTAGAGGCATAGCAGGTGTGCAAAATCTCTGAATGACTAAAACTGTCGTTTTGGATACATACTAACCTACGTAAATAGCAAGAAAACCACAGCAAATAACAGCAGGGCTGTTTAGCACAATAAATATTCTTGAACAAATTTAAAACAGGTATTATTCAAGGATAACTCAGAGGAGTGTACAAAGCTGGAAAGAAAAAAAAACAAAACTAATGAACATTTCTACGTGCTGCAGCAAAGGCTCTACACACATTCGCAAAACTAACCCTCACAGCTCTAAGAAGTATGACTATGATGAGTGCTATTTTACAGAGTAAACTGAGATTTAGAGACATTTAATGACCCAAAGTCACAAAGCTTTAAGTGAACGCTCCAGACTGTCACCCAGATCTGTCGGATTCCGAGGGCTGTGCTCTTAACCCCACTCTAATAATCTGTCTCATACTTCGGAAGTCAGATGTTTTTCAACTGACTAGGATAAAAGCGGCCAACGCTTCAATCCCACATCCCATCCCGCGACTCCCACCTGAGAGCTTCCCCACTGTCTCCTGGCAAGTAGCTCGCGCTGAGGAAAACCCCGGCTGGTGATCGATCGGCTCCCACCCAGGCAAGAAGAGGGGTAACCAGGAAGAGTGAGAGACCGAGACAATACCACCCTCATCACGGGACCCTTTCACCCCAACGTTCCCCGGGGCGGAGTACCAGCGAACTTACACAACTCGATCCAGAGTGTCCATCGCTACTGCTCCCTGCAACTCTTAACTAAGTGGATGCACGTGCACCCGGCGATTACGTGCGCCGGAACAGGCAGAACCGGAAGCTGAGCGCAACGCCACTTCCGGGGACGCCCTCGCCGACGGTGCCTGGAGGTGTTGGCGGCCATTTTGATTGGAATCGCGCCCTGTTCCCTTGGTTACGGATTTTTGCCCTGGCTCTTTCCCGGAATTACAGGTGCGAGGTAATACTTTTAAGTAACATTGGCCGGGTGTGGTGGCTCACGCCTGTAATTCCAGGATTTTGGGAGGCCTAGACGGGCGGATCACCTGATACCAGGAGTTCGAGACCAGCCTGGCCAACGTGGCGAAACCCCGTCTCTACTAAAAATACAAAAATTAGCCGGTCGTGGTGGCGGGCGCTTGTAACCCCAGCTACTCGGGAGGCTGAGGCAGGGAGAATTGCTTGAACCCGGGAGGGGGAGGTTGCAGTGAGCCGAGATCGCGCCACTGCAAAATCCAGCCTGGGCGACAGAGTGAGACTCCTTCTCAAAAAAAAAAAAAGTAACATAGACTGTCACAGTTTGATGTACACGCTAGTGTGTATACTTGGAGTCAGGTATTCAGAAACCAGATTTTATTCTTCAGGGAATCCCAGGATGCTAGAAAGGTTGATTGCACGGTAGGTACTCACAAAATCACTAAAAACATTAATGTGAAATGGGCACTATTAACAACTGTGCGATCAGCGTGACAGAGTTTATGTCTATCACAGTTGCCCAGTACATAAAAAATGCGCAGAAAAGGTACTGCTGATCGTGATTTTTTCCCCAGTTTTTAAGTTACCACATAATTCACATACCATAAAATGTACCCCTTTAAAGTGTACAATTCATTGGTTTTTCGTGTATTCACAAAGGTGTGCAAACATCACCACTAATTCCAGAATATTTAATCACCTCAAAAAGAACCCCCTCGACACACAAACCCAGTAGCGGTCCAAGCCCCACTTCCGCTTCCTGCCAGCCCTTGGCAACCAATAATCTACTTTATGTTCACTGGATTTGCGTATTCTGAACATACATAAATGAATTCGTGCAACGTATGGCCTTTTGTGTCTGACTTCTTTCACTATCTGTTTTTGAGGTTCATACATGTTGTAGCGTGGATCAGTACTTCCATTTTGTTAGCACTGAATAATATTGCTTTGTATGGATATACCACATTTTCTTTATCTGTTCGTCAACCTAGGTACTTTTTTTTTTTTTCCGACGTAGTCTTGCTCTGTCGCCCAGGCTGAAGTGCAGTGGTGCGATCTTGGCTCACTGCACCCACCACCTCCCAGGTTCAAGCAGTTCTCCTGCCTCAGTCTCCCAAGTAGCTGGGATTACATGCACGCACCACCACACCTTGCTAATTTTTGTATTTTTTAGTAGAGACAAGGTTTCACCATGTTGGCCAGGCTGGTCTTACCTGAACTCCTGAGCTCAGGTAATCCACCTGCCTCAGCCTCTCAAAGTGCTAGGAATACAGGCGTGAGCTACTGCGCCCGGCCAGCTTATGTACATTTGAGTGGTTCCCATTTTTTGGCTACTGTGGATTATGCTGCTTTGTGTTTTTTTGTTTTGCTTTGCTTTGTTTTGTTTCTGAGACAGTCTCGCTCTGTCACACAAGCTGGAGTGCAGTGGTGCAATCTCAGCTTACTGCAACCTCCGTCTCCCGGGTTCAAGCTATTCTAGTGCCTCAGCCTCCCAAGTAGCTGGGACCACAAGCGCGTGCCACCCCACCCAGCTGCTTTGAATATTATTTTCCAAATTTTGTGTGGACATATGTTTTCAGTTCTCTAGGAGTAAAATTGCTGGGTCATATGCTAACTCTTAAGTGTAACATTTTGAGGCACTGGTAAACTGTTTTCCAAAGCACCTGCACCACTTACATTTCCCATGAGCAGTGTAAGAGGGTTTGGTATTAGTTTCCTATTTCTGTTGTAACAAATTACCACACATTTATTATTTTATACTTCAGGAAGTCAGAAGTCTGAAATAGTTTTGCAAGTCTAAAACGAAGGCCAGGAGCCGTGGCTCATGCCTGTAATCCCAGCACTTTTGGAGGCTGAGGTGGGCGGATCACGAGGTCAGGAGATCAAGGCTATCCTGGCTAACATGGTGAAACTCCATCTCTACTAAAAATACAAAAAATTAGCCAGGTGTGGTGGCACACCTGTAGTCCCAGCTACTTGGGAGGCTGGGGCAG